CCTGCAGCCTCTGCCCACAGCCCCTTCCTGCCGCCCCTGCCCGCAGCCCCTGCAGCTCCCGCAGCCCCAGCCCTTCCTGCAGCCCCAGCAGCTCCCACAGCCCCTTCCCGCAGCCCCTGCCCGCAGCCCCGGCGACTCCCGCAGTCCCGGTGGCTCCCGCAGCCCCGGCCCTTCCCGCAGCCCCCTCCAGGCCGCCCGTGCCCGGCTGCGGTACCAGGGTGGGCACCGCGGTGCCCAGTGGCCGGTTGCCCGCACAGGGGCGGCAGGCGGCTGCAGGGGGCCGGGGGCTGCCGTCCCCCACAGCGGGTGGGTGACACCCCGCCATCCTCCCCCAGTGGGTGACACCCGCGTCCGTGTGTGCAGCGGATGGATCCCGCCTTGGGTCCCGTGGGAGCAGGAACGAGGGGACGTGGACGTGGCGCTTGGGGCCAGGGCAGGGACACGGGGGCAGCGCTGGCCCCGCTCGGGGCGCCCGGGGCCACCCGTGGAGGCCGCGGCACCCGCACCCGCGGGCAGCAAGGAGAGCCGGGCGCCGTGACCAAGCGTTTATTGTTTTAAATAACCTCCAGGGAACAGAGCTGCGGGCGCCACGCGCGGGGCCCTCGCTCGGGTGCCCCCGTCCCGGTGCCGCGCGGCACCGGCGCCCGCCTGGCGGGTGCTCGGAGGCCCCGTCCGCGCGGCCCAGCAAAGCAGAACGCGGCGCTTTGGGCCAGAGCTAGTGCTGAGAACTAGGCAGCTCGCTACATGCTAGGGGAGGCGCGCGGGGGAGAGCGGCTGCCGGCCGGCGCCCGCGGTGCCCGGCGTGCGGCCTGCGGCGAGCAGCACCCGTGGGAGCCCCGTGCCGGGACACTGGCACCCACGGGACCTGTCCTGTGTCCCAAGTGGGTCAGGGAACCTTGCACTGGGTCATGCAGCACCCATGGGACCTGTCCTGGACAGGACAGAGAGCCCCGCACCGGGACAGCTGGTGTCCATGCGACCTGTCCCACGTCCTAGGCAGAACAGGGAGCCCCGTGCCGGGACACCCGGCACCCGTGGGACCTGTCCCAGACAGCACAAGGTGCCCCAAGCTGGGGCACCTGGCACCCAAGGGACCCATCCCGTGTCTAAAGGCAGGACAGGGAGCCCTGCATTGGGTCACGCGGCACCCATGGGCTCTGTCCCGTGTCCCAGGTGTCCCAGGCAGGACAGGGAGCCCTGCAGTGGGTCACGCGGCACCCACGGGCCCCGTCGCGGGCAGCCTCCGGCCGCCCTTTCCCCTGCGGTCGTGGTTACCTGCTGAGGAGCTAAACCCGAGTACAAGAAGGCGCTAGGCAGAGGTTATCAAAGAGCAAGGACAAAGCACAAGCCACCCCCGTCCCCCCCGTCCCCCGCCCCCGAGGGGGCATTCGGCGCGGAGCCCGGCGCATGTTCACCCCGGCCCCGCGCGCAGCCGGAGCGGTGCCCGCGCGGCCCCGTGCCCGGGGCTCCCGTGGGTGCCCATGGGGTCTCGCGGCCCCTCGTTGCCGTCACCAGGCCTGCAGGGCGCTGGGGATCACGCCGTGCCGGTGCCCGCGGTGCCGAGCTCGTCCCTGCGCCGGCGGCCGCTCCTCGGCTCCGTCCTCGGCCGAATGTGGGAAGCCGGCCCTGCCCGTCCGGGTCCGTGTGCGGCTTCCCGCGCGGCACCGGGGCTGCGGCCACCACTCGCCGTGGGCTCCCTGGTGCCGAGTCCTGCACGGCGGTGCCCGCGGCGCGGGGCCTGTCCCGCGGGCCGTGCCGGGCCCCGGCTCGC